CCGTTTGTGTTCCCCAGGGGGGGGGGGGGGGGGCGTACTCATTTGTTGCTTGCCGTAGTCATTTGACCATTGACCACGCGTCCCTTTCGAGACGGAGCACCGTTCCTACCCCTACTAGAGACACCACCAACATTTGGGAGCTCTTTACGTTTCTGCCACAAACTCCATAAAAATTTCTTGCACATCTTATCCCCGTCCTCTAGGGACTCTTGTGCCCACCATCTATCCCCAATTATCGCGATCGTTTTTTCGCTGTTGTCTAATTTACCAAACTTGTCCATGTCACACCCTCTCTGTCTCATTTCCTCCTCGAGATCCTCTCTTTCCTTCATGTGCAACTCACACTCCCCAACTATGTGGGGTCTACTCTCCTCCGATTTGCCACATGGACATGTGTGTCTATCCTCCTCTTCCTCTCTCCTACGCCTGGTATACCTCTTCCTCCGTTCTGGCAAGTCCAGATCGCCTACTCGAAATTGCAATTTCATCTTTTTCGCGTCGTCCATGGGGCCGTCCAAGTACGTCTTCATCCCTATCCCTTCTTTCAACTTCCCGTATATCTCCAAGTGGTCTTCGCTTCGTACCTTCTTCCGAAGGGTTGCCTCCTCCCTACTTTCTAGCATCTCCTTGACTTTCGTCTTGAACCCCCCGAACCCTTCCGTGTCCAACGTCTCCTCCTCGTCTCCTATCTCCTTCCAAACCTTCTCTACCAACCTTGTCCCATCTGATTCCCTTCTTCCCTGGAGTCACTTTTCCCCAAGCTGCCTTGTCAACCATGGCTGGTAGTCTATCGTCCGACATTCTACTTACCTTGGTACTGGCAATTCAACTTCTGCATGTCTCTCTTTGTTTTAAGAGAGTACATTCCCAATTCTGCTCTCAATACAGTGTTGCTCGTTGTACTTGAACATCCTAGTATTTTCTTGGCCGCTGCCATCTGCACCGTTTCCAGCTGCTTGACGGCCTTTTCGTTACCTTCCCATACCTCAGGGGGGCGGGGGGGGGGGGGTACTCATGTTTCGCATGCCTTAGTTGTTAGACCATTGCCACAGGGAGGCCTTTTTGCGAAAGTCTCGCCTTTGAAGGGACGAGACATGCCGGCCGTCTTGATACGAAACGCACACGCTGGAGAGCGTTCCTACGATATCTCTCACGCGCGATTCGTGTGTGGCTTTCTCTCGCTCTCTCTCTCTCTCTCCGTCTCTCTCAATCTCTCCCTGCAGGTGCTGGTTTTCGTGTCGAGTAAGCAGGGGTGCGAAGACTTGTGCAAGTCTCTCAACAAGCACACATCCCTTGAGGCCGGGGCCATTCACGGGGACAGGGACCAGACAGATAGGCGAGAAGGGTTCCGCAGTATCGCTGTTAGCAGCAGCAGTAGCAGTGGAGCTACGGTGTTTTTTTGATTTTTTTTAACAGGAGTAGGTGGCGGACTCGTGCTCTCGCCGCACCGAAAAGAGTGTGGTTGGTTGTGGCTAAAGCGTAGCGTTTCCGTACACATAGGGGAGCGGTCGCGGTGTCATAGATTCGAGTCAGTCACGGGTGTTTATGGCAATGTCCATGAATTCGCTACTCTGTTCAAACCGAAAAGAGTAATACAATTGTCCTACATAGCTGAGTGATACTTTTCATCTCATAAGTCGGTGCACACATTGAGTCTCATTTACCTCGCGCGCGTACGCATGTTCTCAGTTTGTTTTTTGTGCTAATTTTTTTGTGTGTGTGCGTTGCGTTTCTCTCTCTCCCCCGCCCTCGCGGCAACCTATCGTCCTCGCGCTATCTACACCACTTCGCCAGGGAGAAAACGTTGCGGGCTTTCAAGCAAGGCCTGATGCCCATCCTGGTCGGCACAGACGTGGCGTCAAGGTTAGTCACTCACGTCAAACATGCCGTAAAAGCCCCAACGCCGCCCGCCCGGAAAGTGGCCGCTGCCCCAACACATGACATCGCCTGCTTTTCTGGTACTCTTGTCTGATGCGTCAGGGGCGGGGGGTTAGAATGCCCGCAGGCAGCTCTTTACATACCCCGTTGACCTTCCTCCCACCGTGCTTGACTCGGTACTTTGTACACAATGGAACACGAGGCGTCGTAATCGGTTGCTGTTGCCACTGCACTGCTGTGGGTTCTGGGCCCTAAAGTCGTGGTGCAATTAAAAATCTCGGTAGGCACGTGGCCCTTGGTATCGTTGCCGAGTAGTAGTAGTACGCAGGCCTACATTTTTTGGAGACCTTGTGGGACTCCAAGAAGGGGGTCCTTCGACGTGCGCCGAAGGCACTTCTTGGCCGCGCTGGCTGCCGGCCGATTCGCGCCCAATTGCCTGTCGCGGCGGGTTTTGCCCGTTGAAGTGCCGCATTCTGTCTGCATGGAGAATATACGAGAGAGGGGGGTTTCGAGGTTTGTCGTAGTCTTACCGACTTCAGTGGGGGGCCCGGTTTTAGCGACCTCTATATATAATAGTGACAGCAGTTATACTACCGGGGTGCGGCGGTGCCACGTGACGTTGTGGCCGCTAAGCAGGGCATGTCGCTAAACAGGGGGTCGCTAAGCCGAGACCCCAACTGTTGCATCCGGTTTTGGTTCGATATAGAGATCGTCTTGTTTTTTGTGGTTGCCGGCGGGTTTCGTTTTCTCTACCGAGACAGTAACGCCTTGCATCACTCTCTGACATGACACGGAATTGGCGTTAACTCTTGCGAACATTCAGGGGGCTGGACATCAAGAATGTCAACACCGTGGTGAATTACGACGTGGCCAAGAACATCGAGACGCACATACACCGCGTTGGCCGAACTGGGCGGTAAGCTACAGAAAGAGAAAGAGAGAGAAAGAGAAAGAGAGGGGTAGGGGGCGGGGGGGGGGGGGGAGGGTAGGGAGAGAAAAAGAGAGAAAGAGGGTGATCAAGAGAGACACAGAGAGAGAGAAGATGAGAGAGGCATCTTTTCCGATCGTCGTTTTCCCGCCGACTTGTGGAGAACACTTCTTGTGGCGAACACACATCAGAAACGCTTAGAGTTCGTTGCATATAGAGACACGGAGCTGTTACGGCCCATATGATGATAGTACAGCATCGCCAGTCTCTGGGTTGCGCTCAAGGCATAGTTGAAGGCAGGGAAGGGTCCTCGCGCTGTCAAGACGAGACGTACGTAGTTGTTTGCCTTCACCTTGTGCATAGAAAATGCAAATGATGGTACGTCGTTGTGGGGGCACGTGCGCCTGCGAGGCGTTCCTTCGACACTAGTAGCCGAAACCATGCTCCAGGTGCCTTACAGCTGTTGTACAGCTGTGGCACCGTCAAGTCTCGATCTTCCGCCAGTGCTTTCGGCGGTGCTACTGTACGCAAGCGCCCATGTAAGCCCTTTTCTGACCGTTGCGGTCGGTATCTCCTTTCCACTCTCCGATGTTTTGCGTTTGTTCGTATGCCCCCTGCCCCTTTGGTGCGCATTGTTCTCTGCGTTAGGATGGGCAAAGACGGCGTCCACCCGGGCACCGCCTACACCCTCGTAACTCCCAAGCAGGCTTCTTTCGCGGGGGACCTCGCTTACCATTTGGAGGTGAGGAGAAAATGGACGAATCAGTATGTACCTCGCGTATCACTTGGAGGTGAGAAGAAAATGGACGAATCAACACCTCGCTCATCTTTTGGGGGTGAGAAAAAAAGTAGACGATTCAGTACCTCGCTTACCATTTGGAGGTGAGAAGAAAATATACGAATCAAAAGTATGTACCTAGCTTATCATTTAGAGGCGTGAGGAAAGAGACGCACCGCGGTTTGTACGGTGCCTGGCTTGTCAGTTGGAGGTTAGAGGAAAAAAATGAATTGCGTTCGTTTGTGTAGGCAGTCCTGTCGTCGGTCCACTCTTCGCCACCAGGCAAAGAGCAAGACCCGGGGTTTACTTTTCGGTGCCTTAAAAACATCGTGCATACAAGTTGGTCCCGATGAAATAGCCTATCCAACATTCTGCCCCCCCCCACCCTCACCTCCTTTGCATGACCTTTCCGTTCTTCGCAGTCCGCCAAGCAAGCCGTCCCTAAGGAGCTGGAGGCTTTGGCCAAGCAGGGGGGAGGGCGACGAGGCGGTGGTGGTGGCGGCTTCGGGGGAGGAGGGGGCGGCGGCGGCGGGCGCGGTCGGCAAGGCGGAGGAATTGGGTAAGTTGCGGTGCCACCATGTGCACTTGTTTAGTCTTCTTCTTTTTCTTTTGTTGTAGAGGTCTGAACGGACAACCTCTCGGTGTTTGTTTTTCCCAGTCCCGGTTACACGATAGACTGTTCTTTCTGCCATCACGTTTTTTTTTTTTCTGGATGCCTGAACGGACACGTCTCAGTTTTGTTTTTGCCCACGCAGCAGTCAGGGTCACACCACGGGAAATGGTTATTTCCTCTATACTTTTATTCACCCCCTGTTCATTGTCGCGAGAAGGGTTGGGCACTTGACGCCGTCACCAGTGCTACCAATTCGAACCGCACTCTTTCGAGTGGACCTTTAGCCGTCGACCATCCAAGCGTTACGATGATGTTTTGGGACCGTATGGGTTGACGCTGTTCGTTAGTGCTGTAACTTCACCGGCACACAGTATTTTTTCAAAACGGCGTCACGGACCTGTGGCCATCGACCATCCAAACGTTGCGATAATGTTTTGGGACGGTAAGGGTGGCCCCGGCGAGGAAAGTATTTGCACTCTTAACCTCTTCATTGGACCTTTTGAAGCCTGCCAACCACTAATGGGGTGTTGAGCCGGGATGCCGTGGACGTGGAAAGAGGTGCAGCCCCCACGTAGTATGCATGGCGTTGTGAACCGCTTGCCCCCGTGCCTTGGCCAGAAAGAACAATTGTGGCGGTGCTTGAAAGAGGTGCTCGCGGCTTTCACTTCTCTCCCCGCCGTCGCCCGTTAGCACGGGGGCAAGCAGGATTGGCGCTGCCTCCTGTGCGTGCCATGTAGCCGTAATCTCGTCCTTCGTCCCACCTCCCAAAAACCACGCACCGTGCTCACAACCGCGGCGTCGACGCGCCGCTCGCTCCCCACCCCGCCCCTTGCTCGCTCAGGTTCGTCGCTGGAAAAGGCAACAGCAGCGGTAGCGGGGGCGGGGGCGGCGGGAAGTTCGGCCCCCCGGCGGGGCCGGCGCTTACCTCCGCCGCCGCGGCAGCCGCAACCAAGGGGACCGCCGCCGCTCACATGCAGCTGCCGCCCTCTCTAAAGCTGATGGCAGCTAGCGTGGGAGGGGGGGCGACGGCGGCGGCGGCGGCGGCGGCGGCGGGGGGATCCAGTAAAGGGAGGGTGCACAACCCGATAGAAGACTCGTATGATACCAAGGCGCCGTGGAGCCCGGGGTCTAAGCCGGCGTCGGAGCCGGGCTCGCCGGCCGCGGGAGCGGCGGCAGGGGGGGGTTCGAACGTGCGGCGCGGGTTGTGGTGAGTAAAGTTGGGTGTGTTTGCAAGCATCGATGATGGCGCCTAATAGCTGTCGAATTGTGGGGCATCTGTGCGCCCCGCGTTCCGCCCTTGTCGTAACCTTGCTCTGTTCTTGTTCTAGGTGAGAGGAGACCGGGGGTGGGGGAGGGGAAGCCTCGGCGGGACAGGTGTTGACGTGGCGCTTGCGACGCTAGAGGGCGTTTCGAGGATCGTGCTTTTGTCTAGTATTTTTGGCAGCAGTGTTAACCCGTCGTTTTCTTTCGGTTGGGGAGAGATATTCCACTACCCCGGTTGCTTCCCTGCAAGCAGTATGAGGTGCTCGTGTGTTCCCATACCTGTCCTGTGAAGTAAGCATATGCGGTGACACGTGTGGGTTGGGTGAAGTTATTATAGTGAGGGTGCTTTAGTACCTCGAAATAGTTAGGTTTTCGCGCGCCTGGGCCTGTTTTCCACCCACGGTGAACGTTCCGAGGGATAAGGGATGAATCAATCCAGGTTGTGACCGCCCGCGCAAGTCATGCCTACGCCAGTGCTGCCCTCTCTGAAAGAGGTTGTACCCTTACTATGTACGCGTGGGCAGGCATCCACAACGGAAACCGCTGCTGCACGAGAGCTGGCTTGTCCCCGTCGCGATTCGTCAGACATTTACACACACATTTGATATTGTCTTAACCCCCCCCCCCCCCGCTTCCCTCTCGTTCACGCCTCCCCCTTGTCTTTTCTCTGGGGTCGTTCCTTTTCTGCAGGGGCAAGGTTCTCCCGGCCGCCAAGCCGCCGGCGGCCCCGCAGTTTCCGCCGTTGCCCCCCCCGGCGCAGCAGCCGTGGCAACAGCCGCCGTTGCCCCCGTGGGCACAGCCCTCGCATCCTCCTCTACCCCCGACACAGCCCCCCCTGCCACCTGCACAGCCCCCTTTGCCTCCGGGGGCACCGGGGGCGGCGACGGGGGGGGGGGCGCCCCCTCCGAGGAGCGAGAAAAAGCCGGTGGAGTTGAGTTAGCAAGCTCCGTCCCTGTCAATGTTTTTTGCGGTCATCGTTCAAGCTTGGTGTGGCATGTCCATCAGTTGTCCTAACGGCTGTCTGTCTGGGAGACTTGCAAGCGTTTCTTGTTTCTGTTCAGCATGGATTGCTGGCAAAGTTGATCGGTAGTACGTGTTTTGTTGCAACGTGTCTTCGTCTCTGTAGTCCGCTGTGTTTTTGCAGCCTGATAATGTAGAGGAATGGGCAGGGGTTGCGCGAGGTCACATGGGTGATCTCTTTGGGAAGTTGTCGCGTTTCGGTTGGACGTCGGTTACGTCGAGGATGTCCGGCATCAAGAAGGATCTTGATTCTCTTGAGCTCTTGACCTTGTCGCCTTCTTTGTCTGATCGACACTGTCTCGCTTCTCAGGCGTCCGTCTTGTATGAAATGGCGCCCACGGAATAGGGTTCGAATTGGAACACAATTCAAAGGTGGTGGAAGACGTGTTTGTTGACACAACGAAATGGGCTTTGTTGTTCACGCACACGCGTCGGAGCCGTAGCGCAAGGTCCAGCGCGACGACCATCATCCACGATTCGGCTCGACCCTTGTGGCCGCGAAACATAACCACGCCAGCACAGACCGAATTACTCTCGTTGTGTTCACGTGGAGTTTCTTCATTCATCATGGCCGCGCTGCTGGGATCGGCGAGAGTGATGTATGCGTGCTCACACGCATTGTCGAGGCCTTCCCAACCAAACCCGCAAGCCTTTCGTTGGAGAGGACTCGTTTCTCGTTGGCCTTGTCAGACGACGATTCTGTCTGTCTGCTACCAGATGGTTGGTCGTCGTTTACCTCCCGGCGGAAGTAAAAACAGTGTTCAGAGGTTTAGCGCGCCGGGAGGTTGTGTATTCTCTACCGCAGCGGAACGCCTAAAAAGGCCGTGTTGTCGCTGTCCCGTCTAGGCGTGGTGTCGGAACTCGGCAGTGCTACTCATCTCAACGAGTCGTCGTGTCAGTACGTAGGCGGCTCGTGTGTTGGTGCTGTCCCGCTTGGTTGGGGTTCGCCGGGCATATATCGGTAGATTCGCGCCGAACCCGTGTTGTCTCTCCCCTTCACCGGGGGCACAGACGTTTCATGCACGAATATTTCCATATGTGAATTGGTCGCTCGTGTCTCCGCAGTGAAGGAACCACGTGCATCCCCAACCTGCCTTTGTCCGCGAGACATATGCTCGCTAGTTGAGGTACTCGCTTGGTTCTCTCACGACGGCAGGCGCAGGGTATGCTTGCTCGACGGCACAACACCAGCAGTGACGCGGCGTTCACCGTGCCACTGTCGTCGGGTAATGGCCGCAGATTTAGCCCTTGATGACGCTTCGCGCAACACCAAAACACCGAGAACACACAAGAAAATAAACTCACTAGACTAAGCCTTTGTGTTTTCCTACTTTTCACAGTAGCCATCCCATCGCCATTGACATTGCCTCTGGCTGGCCGGCCAAATCACAGAAATGAATATATCCTGCCATCGCCGCCGACACGGTAAGACACTCAAGTGCTGCGATCTCTCCCTGCGATATGAAGCCATTTGGTGCTTTTCAAGTGGTACACGAGCACCCGAGCACATGTCCAAAACGACCAACCATCAACAACGCAGCCGGCTTTCATGTATCCGGCTTTGCAACATACATGACTTCGTCCTTGCTCCGCCATTCCCTACTGCCGGCAGTGGCATAGTCCGGCATTGTTAACGTCAGTCAAGCTGCCATGATGTGCACCAATACCTATCTGTAGTTGGTCTAATTGACTGCCCTTCCAGCCATGCGACCGACTACAAGAGGCACCACGCACACACACACACCGCCGTCATCGTTGCTGCCCGACAGACCAGAGCGCGTACATCTTCATGGCGCTGCTACGGGTAGAAGTCCCGAAGTGCGCCCGACCGGCCGAGGTCCTGGTGGACGTGGGCTGGTTGCCCAGAGACGAGATCGGCGTTCCCCCATGCACTGATGGACACAACAGAACAAGGACAGCAGTTCGTGGGAGAAGGACGGACGGGTCGAGGAGGAAAAGACACAGGGTTGTCGGATGATGATGAGCGGGAAAATAGATGGGGTTGGATGAAAAACGTTGGTGGGGTAAACTGTGGTGGGGGAAATCGTATCGTTAGATTTGCGCAGCGGAAATTATTGTTATCGTCACGGCAAGGAGGGGAAACGGGTGGGACTACACATGCAAGTCGTGATTGTTCTGCGAAAGCGCTCGAACTCAATGCGACGCCATTTTTTCAACAGTTGAGGATAATGAACCTGAGTGATTCAACGCATGACACATCCAGAGTGGAAACATGATTGGCTGGCTAGTGACCCAGCCCTAAACCCAGATTTTGGCTGCAGGCTACGTAGCAAGCAACAAGGAGTGGGAACAATGTGGTCTTAGCTTTACCTGTTCAAACGGGCTGAGAGGGAACAGACAAAGTAAAACTAAGCTCGTAATCTAGGCTATCTAGGATAACCGAAGCTGCCTCCCGTGTTTTCCCCGAGCATGTTCTCGTTCACCCCAAAGAAGTATGGCCGCAAATACTTTAGTGTGAGGTTAGGTGTAGGGCACTAGCCTACTCTCACCTCTGAACTTGTCGCCAGGCACGTACCACCTGTCCTGCCTCGTGAACACCGGCCTCCCCGCCGAGCGATAGACGTCTCTCGACAGGGCCTGCTGGCCCAGGCAGCTGAAGGTCCTCGGGCAGCGGAAGTCGCTTCCTCCCTTGTCGAAGGACACCTCCGGGCGAGGCTTTTGACGTACGACCGTGGGCTGGAGGCGACCTGTAGTATGCATACGCGAGCGGGGCTTTCGGCTTTAGTGAGTGGGAATTGGTTTTCGAGGGAGAAAACAGGAAATAATGCTTGTGTGCATCGAAACCACTACAGAGGGCACATGCGTTTAGAGTGCGTGATCGTGGGTGGTTTAGCGTGTTGCTGACGCTCTCTTTGGATGTCCGCTCCAACACGCATCTACCGTCTTAAAAAACTGCTACACGGCTATGTATTGTAGGCCACGTTTTGTGTATTGGGGTCACAGGTGTCCCCGTCCAACTCTGGGTAATCGGTGACACGTGTGGTGTTGTGCACTCAGGGCAAACTTCGAAGTCCACCAGTTGGCTGTATTAGTCCCACTGTCGGGGTCGCAGGTCGTTACTTAATTCCATGAAGTGATTTTTTCGGTGGTTCAAAACGGTCATGAAAGAGATTGCTCGTCGACGCTCTCGAAAGCTTACCATCAACCTTGAAGGGAGCCATCGGTACGTGCGTGCGGCGTTTTCACTCGGTCCAGCACATAACCCTTTCAACGCAATAACGCAACATCAGTGATTGATATGTACTCCGAGTATTCTAAATTCTGAAGAGTCAACACAACTACAACTGCTGTAGACTACAACATGAGGAATGCTATTTCCCAGCTCGAATTCCCCGTTTCTTTAGCGTCTCCTCTGCGCGATACTGCGGTTTCTCATACTGGCGAGTAGGCGGAGGGGCGGTCGATTGGCATCGACGATCCCGCGTTCAATCAACAGGTTGATGAGACCCGCCTTACACCACACGATGCGTCGAACAACACAACGCTGTGCATCCCTGCCAGATTTTCGTTGGACTGGTGTGTGCATGACATGCCTCTCGTGGTACAGACTGCTGGTGGCACTCACCCATGAATGGGGGCTCGACAGAGGTACGCACCCCGGAAGATGAGCGGCACAAGGACCGCGTGGTTTCCTTCAACGAGTTGGTGTCAGACATCGATTCGCGTAGGGCGTGGTGTACCACGTTCGTTCTCCAGCAAGCTCAATACTCTTGTTCTTCTGACGACCCGACACTTGCTGCGTACCTGCTGAACGACCTCTCTTGGTCAGAGGCAATGATGGTGTCTACGGGGAGAAGGGATAACTTGTAGCGTAGACAGGAGGGAAGAGGAAGCTGAGAGAACGAGAACCGGAGGAGGGAAAGTGAGAGAAAAGAGGAGGGAGGGAGGGAGGGAGGGAGGGAGGGAGGAAGCAGGGAGAGAGAGAGAGAGAGAGAGAGAGAGAGAGAGAGAGAGAGAGAGAGAGAGAGAGAGAGAGAGAGAGAGAGAGAGAGAGAGAGAGAGAGAGAGAGAGAGAGAGAGAGAGAGAGAGAGAGAGAGAGAGAGAGAGAGAGAGAGAGAGAGAGAGAGAGAGAGAGGGAGGGAGAGCCGGACAAACTCGACTTTGATTATTAGGAAAAATAAACACACACAGAAAGACTTACATGGAAGAATGGCGGCGAGATGTCTATCGGTTCGCGCTAAACATTTGTGACGCTCGTTGACGCACCCGGCAGCACGCAGCACCAAACAACGCAAAACGCGAAAGGGGTTCAGCCATCCAGAGCCCCTTTCTGATCGGTATCTAGTCAATGTCGACCTTGTCATCATGAGGCCTGCATACTATGGTAGTCTCACCGTTAGGCGCAGAGTTCGCTCTTGCTCTAGGGCTCGTGCCTGGCCCGCCGTTTGAATATTTGAATAGGGGTCACCACAAACAATATGTTAAGGGTATAATGTAATCCAGCTCAGAGAGCCCCCTTATTGCGCCGCATCATGCAATTGTCCGCCATGGGTATATACGGCACACGCCGCCGGTCACCTACCTCTGCTTCGAGCACCTCCCCTGCCGCCCGATGGTCGTCCAGCAGCACCGATGTTGGGGGCTGTCTTTTCTCGCCGTGTACGGCTGGATAGCCAGGGTGAAGCCTTCCGCAGCGCTAGTGGTCTCTTCAACATCAACATCGTCGATGATGATGATGTTGCCGTCATCACCCAGAATGACGATGATGGTGTCCGGCACAGGCAGTCGCCAAGCTCCCGTACAGCTCCCCTCGGGACGCTTCGCCGCGTGCTGGCCCGTAGGGCTGGGCCAGTACAACGGCGGGCCTGCGGTGTTCCTGGCGAACAAGCGTCGCATCCTGGATCCGCGCGAAGAGGTCCTGCCCATCCCCATCCCCGAAGAGGCTGCGCCGTTACTGAGCGAAGCCAGTGAGTACATATAGCCTTCCTGTACATACTCGATGCACAACGCAATGTCTGTCTGATACCTCCGGGAATTATATGCAGCTGTCGCCATAAACATTTCCAAGAGAGTGACTCGCACACCCCTTTCCTGGTGGCACGAGACATTGGTTGTCTCGGGTGTACACGTGATGGTGCGCGGCACCGACCGATCCTTTCTGCATTTTTCCGCGGAAAAGAGCGGGTGATTTCCAGTTGATACTTACGACCAGTTCAGGAGGTTTTCCTCCGCCACCCACTCACTTTCAACACACACACCCTGGACTGTGGGGTTCTCTCGAAAGGGTAGTTAGTAGTTCAGTGATTGTGTGGAGTATGTTTTTCTAGACCAGGGCAGTGACTGACGAATTGACCAGTGTATTTTCCCCCCCAGGTTCCGGGGCACTGCAAGCTTGTGTTGTAGGCTACTGTATTCAGGCCCACAACGCAATAGCGATGTTTAGGTCCTCTCTCGCCCCTGACCTCGGCGTCATAGCCGAGAGCCCACATGTTCTCTCAACCCATTTGATGTAGCTGTTGGTTCGTTCTCATCAGTCTTCTTGCTGTCGGCATATTTGGAAGAATGCTAGGCTGAAGGACTTGACTACCCCGCGACGATGATGTGAACGCTCGGTGCGACCAAAAGCAGCGATTACCCAAGGTTGATGCAATCCCCGTGCACACTAGCCAACTGCACTAGCTAGCTGGTGGCGGAATGCCGAGCAATTGGCGAACGTTATTGGCGGTGCGGACTTGACGTGTCAAGTATATTGTGAAAACTTGTGCCTCGAGCTGTAGTACAATCATGAGAAGAGAAGATGCACTTGCCGCTGAGTACAATCATGGTCAAGCCTACATGTAGCTCAAAGCAAAACTGCGACTACGTGCGCATGCAGATTTCGATGTGGTAGAGACCTACATACTTCGTGCTGACCTGATGGCGCGCTGTGGTCTGTGTGAGAGGTGCACCGGCCTGGACAATGTCGGGTTGACCGAATGAGTGCCAGCGGGAAACGATTCGGTCGGGTGAAAGTCATCATTCCCTTCGGCCACAGGTTTCGCCAACACGCAACGCGCGGGTTTGACAGCTAATGCCCGAACGAGCTGTATCACACAGAGGCAGGAACGTCGCTGGTCCCAACAGCAGTGCGTACGTTGCTCTCCATTTGAGCTACGTCTTGTATCACCGCCCCCTCCCCGACAATCCTGCACCCGAAAGATGACGGCGGAGAACATGCACGTCCCCCCAGGTTTCCCAACACCTTATTTCTTTCTCGCTACCGCAATGGAGGTATTGAACCACGCCGGCACGTCCAGTTAAACCTTCGTTCGGCGGGCAGAGGCACGTGCCAAGTATGCCGTCTGTCTCTCTTGTTTGCCTGCCTGCTTGCCTGTCTTCCTGTCTGCCTGTCTGCCTTTCTGACTCTCTGTCTTTTCCGTCTTTCCACCGTGTCTTCGTCCATATTTTGAATCAATAGTGCAACCGCGAGACGTGAGCGTCGCGGTCCTCCTCCGGACATGCAGTCCGCTGTTCGGCCGAAACGGCGGAATGTACGACAACATACCGTGGGAATGGAGTGGTGATGATATGGCCAAGAGAGAGGCGTTCCAGAGGTGGGCGTTTCGGGTGTTGGGTGTGGTCTTCGCCGGTAACGCGGAATAACAGACGGAGCCTCTGCAGTTTCCCCGCAACTCCGCGCCCGAAACGTAGAAACCAATGATATCGGTGTGATTATAGGTCAAGCTTGCAGACGTTGTGTTATAGCCAGCATGAGGATTGACACCAACTATCAGTAAATGGTTTTACTCTGTAGAGTTCTTCGTGAACACTGGTCGGGAGAGAGCATCGTGGTGCAGAGGGTCTTCTCGATAACAGATTGGCTTCCAAGGTCCGCGGTGGGTATCCGGCAACAGACGTGTTTGCGCCGGGGGGTCTTCGAGCGAGGTGCACATCATTCCCCGGTAAAGCTGGTCGTACGCCTGAATACCCTCGTGCGTGCAACAACGAAAATTCGTTGGAGACAAGAGGCTCGGGCGGAAAGGTGTGAGGGATATCGTTCTGGAGCGCACTCTATAGCGCGATGGTGCTTGCATACTTGCCGTTGCCTTGTTTCATCGGTTCGCGTGGAGAAGATCACAGGGCAAAGGCATGATGGACATGGGAGCGATTGTTGGCGGCGGCGGCGGCGGCGGCGGCGGCGGAGACTCGGTGACCCAGCAGCAGACGCAGGCCTTCGGCTCGGCGTACGGGCTGCTCGCCGACGTGGCCACCACCCTGTGCCCCGCCGACATCCTTAGCCTGGTTTGTGGCGTTCTCTGTGCGGTGTTGGTCGGTGTGAATCCCCCGGCATGGATCGAATACGGACGACCCCATCCCATCCCCTTGATCCAAAGCGTTTCGGTACCCTCCGCCGCCGCACCTCTACTAGTTTTGTGTCAGCTGTCACCAGCTGGTTTCCTGCTGGGCTTGCTTTCCTCTCCCGCCTTTGTCCTCTTTGATCTATAGCCTGGGCGGCTTGAGGTCCCTGAAGCCGCTCCCCGTCTCCCCTACCCTACGTCGCAGGAATGTCTTCAACTTCTTCTTTACGAGGAAGACTCAAAAATTTGTCCCGTTTGGCCCTACCTCTCGATCCTTCGGTACCTCGTGTGGGCGGAACTTACCCCGTGTCTCAACCCGGCTCCTTTCCCACGCTTCCCCGTTCGTTCATTCGTCTCTCTCTCTCTCTTTCTGTCTCTGTGGACTCGTCGACGCACGGCCTGCGCCCAAAGTTTGTGGAAGAGGAGGAGAGCGGAGCCGGCGGCATCACGCTAGGAGCGTCGGCATACCTTCGCCGACGGCCAGACGCGGTAATAATAACAATATGGTTACAGTCGTGACCCTTTTTTCCGTTCTTCATTGTTTTGTACAGCAAGCCGGGGGTTACATTTTCCTGGGTGGTATTCGCGGCGTTCCTGCTCGCACGCGATATGGGAGATGGGAGACCCCTCTCCGCATGCTATAACAGCGTGTGGCGGCGGCGGAAGTCCGTGCGATTCGGTCGGACCGGTATGAGGCGGGGTTGTTGGGTTGCAAGCAAACCCCCGACCGGGTGTTGTGTTTCAGTGAGACACCAACGCCAACAGAGGCAGAGGCAACGACCAAATATTTATACGTTCTGTTTCATGAGCGATTCTCCGCGGGTCGCAGCGGGGCTTTAGACGGTACGGGGGTCGCTCGTTCTCTCCTACGGTGCCTCCGCCTCTTTGCGCGTGTCTGTGTGTGTCGCCTAATTTCTCCCTTGCTTCCATCGCTGTTGTGCACATTATTCTGACATGCGTGCCTGTCAGGAGGGAAGGGGTGGACAGAGGAGCATCATCGAGGTCACGACCGACGAAGCCGTAGGGGTTGCTCTTGCTCTCGGACGTCAGGTGTACGTGGACGAGGAAATCTGGGAAGGAGGTCGCGTGAGTCAAGCGCATGTACAGTATTCCTACACCGCATTTTACATCTTGTGCACGCCTTTCTGAACGTTCGGAGGTCGCTTGAGTTGGCGTTCATACTTAACAAGAATAGTGCTCGCTGTTCAGAATGTTTGATGGTAACTGAAAATGTTGTTCAGAACGTTTGGTGATAAAACTGAAAATATTTTGGTATTTTTTTCGTGTCGGACCGAAGAGCAGAGGTGGGCGGTGCCGGCGGCGTGGAAGCGTCAACAGTACCTCTCTTTCACTATCCGGTGTTGCGGCAAACGTCGTAGGATGCTTACGAGTGCTTCCGGCAAGGTGTGACAACGAGACGATGGTGCTCGGTCTTGAAGCCACCACCACGCCCACCTCCCCTCCCTTTCCAACGCGCGCTCAAGGGGAGAGATCGAAAATTTGTTGCTGAGCAAGCACGCCTAACTCTCGCACTCGTTTTTTCTGTCTGTTTTGTGCATGCTATGCATATCTATACTGTAGGTGCGGGTAAAGTTTGTCATGGACGGGGACAAGATGCGGTTGGATCTCGACAACGTGGAGGGGAGAGACCTGTCGTCGACCTCCGATAAGGAGGCCCCGCCGGTGCAGCCCCCGGCATGGACGATAAAGTGAGAGGAGAGGATGGGTAAAAACGCCAGATTTCTTTCTGGCACCCCCCCAAAAGTGGCGGAGTTACGCCACGCGGCGATGTAAAAAAAGCGTTAGATTCTTTCTCAAAAGTCTCAATGGTGGCGGTGTGGGGGGCACACGGCGGAATCGACACCTACGTGTGGTTAACCTTTAGCAAATATTTTGTCTGGTGTGGTGCAATAAATAGCACGACCTACACGCGTGCGCGAGAGGCGACTTTGACGGCGCAGACCAGGTGCCGTGAGAGCCTGGTCGTTGTCCAGTACACGATGAGCCAGCCCCTTCCCGGCCTCCCGAAAGAGCGCGAGGTTAAAGGTCGAAACAGCACTACGCCATGCACGATAGCGATCACACGTACAAACACACACACACACACTAGACCTACCCTCCTTACTACTGTTTTTTCAACGTATGGTGGTCTTGGCAAAGGCACCAATCGACTCATCGTTGCTATCGCCAACCACTTGGCGCACGAAGCTTTTTGCCGGGGGAATTTTGACGACGAAAGAGCCTTAGTTTGCCTGAAATCTTTTCATACTAACAGGATTCGGAGACGGTTTTCCTTCGAGCTAGCTCGTTTTCTGTCGATGCGAACTCGCGATGTGTTCAAACGTCATGGGCTACTGATCGACCAACTTCCACCAAGACCAATCGGTTGGGATCTCTGCGACAACGATAGTAACGGGGGTAATTCTTTTGGGAGTGACGGAGACGAAGGAAAGGGAAAGGGAAGAAAGGAGGACGAAAACGACGATGGAGGAGGAAAACATGGAGGAGTGGAAGAGAGCAAAGGGTTTGAGCCAGATGACCTTCCCCAACATAAAAAACGCAGGGCTAGGGAAGAACTACCCAGAGATTCTTGTCAAAATGATGATCAGAATGATGGTAGCGAAAACAAGGAGGATAATGGTGAAAGTACTCCTAAACGAACTAGAGTACAAGGTACTAGCCTTGGTAGACGCGTCCAATTTTCTTCTGATGCAGCCGTTTCTGTCTTTGATCCGAAGGATAGTTTAGCCTCCCCCATGCTGCCCCCTCACAGGGTCCCAGTTCACGGCAGAAAGAAGTGTTTTGTGTTTTCAACCGCACTAAGACTGGCGTATTTTCATTGGTCAGCCGGTTTGCGCGGTCGATGCAAATAATAATAATAATAAAAAAAAACACACACACACACACACGATTTTGGCCGCACTGAGACGGACATCTTTTCATTGGTCGGCCGGTTAACGCGGTCGAATCAAACAACACTAAAAAAAAATGCTTGACCCGCTGCCGTTCGCGTACACCACATCCCAACACAACATCAATCGCGTTTGATCACGCTCTGGTCGGTGCGATTCCTCGCCCCGCGAACTGATGTCCGCCACGTACGCAAGGTCTAGGGGGGCCCTGTCCCGCATGTCGGTGGAGGAGAAGCGGGAGTGCCTCAGGGCTACCGGCGTGCGGCCGCCAAGAAAACGGGCCCTGTCTGAATCAGAGGACCCTGACAGAGACCTCGAAGACCTCATGCTGCCACGAATGGACGAAGCGGTGAGTAGCCGAAATCGCACCATCCACACCCTGGTGCGCGTGTGTTCGGGGGGGGGGGGGGGTACGCCTAGCTGTGCATGCCGTAATCGTCATACCGTTGACTTGGCATCCCTTCAAAGCCGGGACGGAGGAAACACGGGGTCATAGGTTGATCTCCTCGGAACCCGAGGGGAGTTGGTTAAATTTTGTCTTTGATAGAATTCGGAGAGGATTTTATCCCCGTGCTTCCATGCCGGGACGAAGGCTGTTGGGTCTGGTATCTATCTATCTCTTGGCGTGTGTGATCAGTCCGTAAGGGCATGTGCATGCGTCCCCTATCTGCCGAAGGATTACGACTTGGGGCAATTGGGATGCGCAGCTTTTGCACGGGCGAAGCGGTACCCATGGCCTTGGCGGTACGTTTTGTTCCGGAACCTCTATCGCTCTAGATGATGTCATCCATCTTCCCGGCCTTACAAAGCACGCTCGTCTATCGCTTGCAGTGTTCACTCAACAAGCGTACCAGCGTCCTGCGCGTTGCGCCCCCTGCCGTATTATCGCTTCTGCTGATGTTCTACCGCTCTTATTTTTTTGCGGCGGTTTTCCCCTTGGCCTCAGGTCCGTCGAGATGTGCTGATGGCGAGGGCGTGGAGGGAGGGGGACTTCGCCACGGCTGGCGAGCTGTGCGCGGGGAAGAGCGAGAGGCACATCGTTGCGGAGCAGCTGCAAGCAGTGAGTGTGAAGTGTCATGAACGACCGAGAGAGGGTTGCTGGGTAAACAAAATCGGCGTGTTAGGTACTATATACGTTTCGGAAGCCATGTGGTTGGTGCCCACACAGTTAGCTTCCCGTTTTCGGAGCGTTTCAGAACTCCTGTTGCTGAATCTTGGCTTCTGGCGACAAGTGTCGCTCACGACCATTTATTGTTTGTGTTCCCTTTGAGCACAAGAAGAAAATATGACATGTTGAGCGGCACACCCGGTACAGCAATGGGCGGCGTGATTGTGATTCAGTCTGTTCCCGCCGACACTTTTCCGGGCGCCGATGCTATCCAACCGGCACTACTGAGGGCCCCCGCTGCTGTGATGGTGTTTGGTTTGAGGGGGTCCCCGCGAGGCTGCCAGGCTACCACGGTGGGTGTGCCTATGGAGGGGTAGGCGACGATTTTTCAATAGGGTGATGAGGGGTTGTATCTTCTGTGACCGTGTGATACATCGGTGCTTTTTTCCAGGGCTTTAAACAAAATATCACACACGGGCGTGGTTTTCTGCACATTTTCCGTTAGGGGTGTGGTGTCTCATGTCACCTACGGCTATTATTTAGTACGTCGATGCTGCTGCGGCAATGAAGTGACGGTTCGATCCCGTCTATGAGGTGAAAGGTACGATTCGTGCAGGAGACAATGACCATTTCAGCATGCCTCAAAGGATGAAGATGTCACACGAACGCAGGACCCCTTGTTTGTTCAATTAAGTCTTTTTTTTCTGAACCGTGTCTGCTGCACTACCGGCGCCCGTAGCGCGTTCGCCCAGGGCTTGGAATGGCTGTTATTATAGTGCACATCTCCTTGTGGAGGCTTTTGTTCGATGTTGCACAATTGTTGTGCACACGAAGATTGTTTATTTTCCGACCCAGGATGTCCCAGAAGACATGCTCTACCCACACAGCCCGAACGCAGAAACGATAGCCTGGATAGAAGGAGACGAGGTAATTCGTGTTGGTCTACACCAAGACAGCGAAGCCATGCACTCGGACAAAGCCCTCTCCCTACCAACGCAATACTCGAGAACTGCCGGAGCACGACGCGTCAGTCCAACTCCCACGTGACCAATGTCTTCATGACAGGCAACCGTACGGAAGCTCCAACCCGCGTGTAGTTGATCTTGAACACACGAAATTGATATCGGGTGAAATTGATATCGGGTTTGGACCCCCCCTACTGCTAAGTCCAAAGCAAGCGACCAGAACGCGTTGAAGCCACACTTGTCCCACGAAAAATACATGTAGACAACAAGAGAGAAAAGTCCATTCCCATGTTCTTCATCTTGACAAGACGAAACGAACGCCGGCTTTCGACCCCCGCCCCGGCTACTGCGACACGGGAAGAAAACGACCAGAATGTGCTCAAGCCATCGTTCAGTGTTCCCTGTACCTGTTGCGCCTTGGCCTCCGCCTCCTTGAGAGGCAATCGTCCCGTTCATCTCCTCGATGGCTAGCTCTAGCTTCCACTTCTCCGTGGCGCGGGGCCCTGTCCTCCCGCGATTGTACCCTCCGACGAGGCGCGGACCAGATTTTTGTTGCTCGTGCACGGGGACGAGGTTGTCGATGAAGCCCGCCTTTTCATCAACAACCTCGTCACGGCGCACAAGCGAGACAAATCCGGTCCATGTCTCGTGGGAGACTACCTTAGCGGATGGACAGGCTCCCCCGGTAGGACGAAGCGGAAGCTCGCAGTCAAGGAGATGAAGGGGACGACCGCTTTCAAGGATTCGGAGACCAAGGCGTAACAGGCACAGGGAACGCTGAAAGTCATGTGAAGGATCTCTGGCGAATATGCTCAAGGGTAACTGGACCCAAAAAGTTGGAGTAGGGGTACAAGCCAAAGCCGGTCTTCGCAGTCCAACAACATTGTTATGCAACTTGGGGTGATGGTGGTTGAGGTGGTGGGGGTGGGGGAGTCACAACATTGTTATGCAATTGGCGTGACGGTAGGTCGTCAATCAAAGGCATTCGAAGTCGGGGGGAAATAGACACGTCCGCTCAAAAGCAAGACTACAGTAGTAGAAAAACCGCGGCGAAACAACACTTGTGAAAACGATGAAACAACACTTGTGAAAACGATGGAGGGGTGTACCGCAACAAAAAGAGTCGAAAGAACAGTCCTTGCCGCGGTGGGCTGTCTAACGATCCAGGATCTTCTGCCTCGCGGCTTTGTCCTGCCTCCCGTCCCGACTTGGGACCAAGTCGCCAAGGAACTGCTTGGGTGCAAGGAGTTCGCAACGTACGACAAGCTCAGCCGTTCGTACGTGCAGGCAAGACTCCAGAAATTGCAGAAGAACGTCCAGCAGAAGCAGGGAAACGACGAGTGCTAAAGCGGTGACAGGGAGGGGGAGGATGGCGCGTTGCACTCAGCGATGTTGGACATCCAGTGTGTTAGCATGCGGCGATGTTGGACATCCAGTGTGTTGTATGTCGAACATGGCCGAGTGCAACTCGTCGTCCTTCCCCTCCCTCTCGCCGCTTTCACACTCGTTGTGTTCCTGTTTCTGCTGGAAGTTCTTCCGGAGTTTCTGGAATCGTGCCTGCACGCACGAACGGCTGAGTTCTTGCAGGTCGCAAATTCCTTGCACCCAAGCAGCTGCTCGGCGACTTGGGCCCCTAAGCTCCGCTGTGCTTGGAAACGATGACGTGTTCGAAATTGCGATGTGTTGGGGGCGTGGTTTCAGTTTTGATTCTATCCATACAGACTACAAGTAAAGTAGACTCCTTGCTGCTGTATGCATGCAACGACGACAACAGCGCGGTCACAGCACACACAAAGTAACAAGCGCTGTCGGAATCTCGTCTCTTGGCCCCACCCCGTCCATGGCATATGCATGTTGATGATGCGCAGTAGAGTAGACGCAGGCCCTGCATGGCACAGAAGGCACGCTGCACGTTCTGCGGTGACCGAGGGAGGCTTTGGCTCGTACGGAGGGTCGTACTGAGACAGATCGAACTCTGAACCATAAGCATAGGGGGCCATGCTCTTCTTGGTGCGAGACAGCGTGTTAGCGGGCCTGTTTCGGCATCGCATTGACTGATCGAACTCGTGAAAGTCGTTGTGGTTGGTCGGGTCGCTCATGGCTTGATATTGTCCGTGGTCAAGTGCATTATGAGGAGTGGTAGCAGAAAGCAGCTAAGGGCGACGGCGAGGTCAAGTTGAGGGGCGGTATTTTTTTCCAAAATTGAATTGTCGGCATATGCTTCCCTGCCCCCGTGAACCCCGCCGGTGCATGTATGCGCGCGGAGCACAAGATGCAGATCTTCGCATGTTTCCATTTTTCTCATTACGCACCACGGAAATACTTTTTTTAATGTTTTTGTAGCAACAGCAAATTATGCACCCAAAGGGATGCATGTAAGCCATGCACCCACACCTCTTTTACCGACGGAACCACCCAACCAAGAGCGACCTCTGCCTACTCCAAGCCTCACCAACCTAGGACCTGCCCACGTCAACACCAACCTAGCACCTGTCCAAGCCATGCCAATCTGGGTCGATCGCAAAACATCAGCATAGCACCTATCCAAGCAATGCCAACCTAGACTAAGATTTCCCATCAATACCAACCTAGCGCCAATGCCGGCACGCCAACCTAGAACTGAGCCACCCAGCGCCAGCCTAGCACCTATTGGGTGGGTTTCGGTTTAGGGTTAAGAGGGTTGGTGTTAGGGATGTTAGCCGGTTTCATGTAGTTGCTGGTTGAAGAGACAGAACACTGCGCCTGCCTGTGGTAGAGCGACAGGTGGAAGAAACGCGTAGTAACATGTTCGGTCGTGACGCTCGTTCCTCACAAAGGATTTTCGTCGGTAATAAAGGTGTGGGTGCATGGCTTACATGCGTCCCTTTGGGTGTATAAATTGTTTTTTAAGAGAGAAAATTTCGTTTTTTTGCGCAAACGGCTCATTGTTTGTGCTTATTCTAGATGCTCGAAAATCTTGAAGCAGAGCCCAATTCGAAAACCTCTCTCTGGAAAAACACGACCAACAGGCGTTGAAAGATAACGACCAAGACTTGGCGAGTATCCTCATGCAGAGGCTCGAGATCTTGGAGAGCTGCCGGATGGACCCCACCCAGGACGAGGGTTCCTACCAGAGGGACCTCGACGTCGACGAGTGGTACGAGGCAGACCGCCGGAGGGCCAGACAAGGGTAAATGAAGTGAAGACTCGAGACTGCCTTCAGGTTCACTCATATCGCAAAGCGGCCACACAAGTGATCCCGATTGTTCGTCGTGCGTTCTATGACCACTCGAGGCGCGGGCCAGTTTAGCATGGCGTCATGATGGAGGTGTGTGATGTCGGGGTTCTACGTTCTACCACATGGCTCAGGATCTCTAGACTAAAGTAGGCCCATCTCCACACCAATACTGGCGGCCAGAAGTCATGCTGTGGATGGTTTGTGTGGCACCGACTGCAAGCGCTGGGGTAGGAAGGTTTGCACCCCGAAGTGAGCAAGTAATCCCGCGTACACCTCGGAGAAAGAACGGCGTTATTGCTAGTGTGACACGGCGGGCTGGCAGCGTCAAGGGTGTTGGAGGTCGAGCCCTGCTTCCCAACCTCCCCACACAACCCTGGGCAGCTTGTGATCTTGTGCCCCAACTCTCTACCTCCAGCCACACCAGTCAAGCTTTCCTTACTTGCCCACGCCTGCCCCTTCTCGACGCCACGCTTGTCACCTGTGTCTGGTTTTGGCTGAGAGCTTTGCGTGGTGAAAAGATGGTGGTCGTCACTCCTGTTGTAGCTTGAGGTAGAGCGGGGCACTCAAGTGGGAACAAAGCTGTTTCACCAGCCAGCACGTTTAACATGGTCGAGTAAGATCCCTGGCGGAAAAGCACATGGTAACTAAGGTACTAGGGTGGTTCCCGGCTACGTTTGCTGTGTCGTTGCAGGTCCCAGGTCGTGCCTGGGTGTGTTCATGTATGTAAATCCAGTCCAGTTGTTAGCATCGCTTCCGGGTCATATTGACGGAAGCGGTGGATGACTGCTGTATCTAGAGTAAACGCCGCTGCTTGCTGGTGCCACGTTTTTGTTCTTGGTTTGTCTAACGGTCGTGTAGAGGAACGTCATTGACACGGACCATCAAACCATGTTGTAGGGATTGTTTGGGTGTTGAACATATAATACGAGTGAAAACGAGTGAATTAATTTTGTGACCAACCTCTCTCTCCGTCGCGTGCGAGCTAGACGCGAGAGGCGAGGTGCGCGCCGAATCGTAGGCTGCTGCCAGAACAGTGCTGCCGTAGTTGTTGCCCTCCTTTTTCACATGTTTGGTTTGTGCAAGATAACGTGAGGCCGCGTGAGGCATCCTCTTTACCGCAGGGAGTTAAGTCCGGGGTCATTCGAAGCTGATTCGAAGCTCACTCCCTGTTCTGCCACAAGGTTCACAAGTTTTTTTTCCTCTGTCGCACCGTCGGACGAAGCTGACCATACATGCTCGGGTTTCGATCACGTTCGCAGTGAAGACAGCGCACAGGAGGTTCCGCAGACGACGATTTGGTTCTGGTTTGCCAGCGACACGTGGCGATGGCAAGAGTCTTCTGTTTTTTTGAACGGGGATGCATTCGTTGGCAGCACGAGTTCCAAGTCCCGCATAGGCGTCGCGGGTTTGTGTGCCGGGGATGGATGGCCGTGAATTTTGATTGATTGAATATATCCGGGAAGATTTCAGCTATCCGTATGCAGTCGGTTGTGAATCCTCGTTGCCGCTCATGATACTCATAACATTTTTCTTCATGACTCATACCGACATGACCAAGACTGGCGGCTCTCTCATGTGACAACCGAATTCCGGTTGTGTTCAGTCCCGCGCTTTCATTATTCTCGCAGTTCATCTTCACGCGATCTCTCTCTACGTTGTCTGCACCCAGCGGGCCTAACACAGTATTCCGGTCCAACCCAGCCAGTACGCGGGGCGACTCAACGGTTTGAACACCTATCGGCCGAGTCGCTTTGGGGGGGGGCAACAAGGTATTGCGATTCACTTTTTGTGCGCGCCTCGGTCAGAATCCGTTCACTCCCTTACCATTTGATTTCACTCCATGACGCCAACACACGTAGTAATACTGCCAGGGAGGTAGTATGCCTGGCGCTCTATTTTCGTTTCCCGGCGGGATGTTGGGCGCATCGTGTGGGCGGTCATCCTCCTTGTCGAGATAACTCCTATCCTGGCATGGTTCTTGCTGCCAACGCCTGCCCATCTTGGGCCTGCTTTTTGTGAGTTGTGAAATTGTGTCGGTGGCGATGGCGATGCTGCAGCGGTGAGAAGAGTCTCGAGTCTCGAAAACGGTTGCGCATTGTTTCAAAATAACACTAACAATTCTGAAGTAAGATTCACTTCGACCAAATGAATTTCTTCGGATCCTCGGGTGCGGCCGTTCTCCGCCAGAAAATCATTCCTGTCCATAAAAGTTCAGCCCGCCAGCCCGGGATTCATTTCTCTACTATTCGATGAATGGATTTGCTTTCCCGGTATTTTTCTGCATCCTCAGTCTCCATTTTCACTTATCGCTGCGATTTCCTTGTTTCATACCTCAGCATGGGCAGAATAAGCTGCTGTGCGTCGCCTGATGGGAATGGGAGTACTGCAGTTCAAAATATTGCCTGCGTAGTCAACAGATAAGCTATACAGATAGTCTACGCATCCACAACGAACCACCGGGTCACAAAACGGTTTCACCACATAGACATGTGTGACCACCGAGTCGGCATCATTTCAGATGTTTGAGGATACGTAGCAGCCACGCACAAAAGATGCACGGCATGATCATGGGGCCAATCTGCTGGGAAGACCCCGTAATTCGTAACGTTTAGATCGCCTCCCAGTTGTTTCTTTACCGTTAGAAAAACTGCCTGTATTGGGTGCTGCTGGGAAACCTCGATGATGTGATGCCGTCATTCAAAACAATGTGGCCGGACGAGGGTTGTTCTCACATGCATTGCGTGTACTCGGTGACGGGAGCAGTTCTGCCCGGGTAATAAGTTCTTGTTTTCCACACCGGCGGATGAGTGAACGTTCGCTGCTGAACGCTTGGCGTGCTGTTCTGCGCACCACCGCGTCTTCCACCACATCAATTCACTCGTTCGACCGTAGCCCTTGGCCTTCGACGCTTTAGGATGAGATACGATAGCCCGGAGGAACAACGCGGATATCACGTAGCCACCATTCTCAATTCATTCTTTATGAATATTCGTGTGTATCGGGTGCCTGCCTGTGCCTACGGAACATGTAGAATAAGACTTGTTAGCAGGGTAGGCGGATACAAGAAGAAACACGCCCATCACGCAGCAACCCCCGGTTCCCCGGAATCGGTCGCCTTCTCTCCTGGTGGTGGTCAAAGGTGCTTCACTCCTCGACCAACTCAGTGACAGAAACGGGGGAACAACCGTGTTCTCGGAAGCGCCGCGTGTGCGGCGCGGTTGCTGCGCGAAGACGCACACCCTAACCTAACCTCCCAGCAGACCCGACGACAACCATCGACGAAAAGTCGATACCATCAAGGCTTTAAAAATTGCTGAGGGGGCGGTGACAACTCAGACGCTGATGTTTTAGACGGACGGGTGAGATGTGGCTTCTTGCGCCACGGAGGATTGGCAAAAACGGAAAGAAAGCTCCGAACGAAAGTGTGATCGCTAATACGTCGCTTCGCTTCGTTGAGGACCTACATGGCTTCGACCTCTCCGAACGAAAGTGTGATCGCCCACACTTTCACTTCTTTGAGAATCTACACGGCTTCGACCTCAGGAGCGTGCCGAAAATTCTAGAAGCGGTCGGTCTATTGGTTACCATACCACCCTCTAGGGTAGCCTACACGTACCCGACCACCAAACCGCTCTCTTGGGGCGAAGTACACACCATCAAGAAAGAGTGCACAGGCCCTTGTACGTATGTATAAGTCTACATCACCAACAAGATCAAAACACCTCCACAGGAAAACCCTACTATAACACGTGCGTGCACTCACTGACTCGGTACACCGACGAAACCATCCACGAAGAGATAAAGAGGTATTGAAAACAAACCCGCGCATCGACGAAAGATTGGGCCAAGTGCTCAACAGCTTTGCACGGCAGGAGACACAACAAACCTTCCGCAGGCACTAAATAGGCGAAAACACACGCGGCGGGTCTTGCCTCACGGTGCGCACCCTTCTCTACCAAACTCCACGTCGTCAACTCCTCTGCCATCATTGCCATCACCAGTACTATCGCCGACACCGCCGCCGCCGCCGCCGCCAGCCTCCGAATTTCCAAACGCAAACTCAAACGCCTTCGTGGGTTGACGCGAAGAGCAGTTGACGGGGGACTCCTGCCCGAACGACCCGCTTCCGAATCCCTGCCACTCGTCCCCCGCTTCCCAACCCCCACCCAGGGCGGCGGCGGAAGCAGCGGTGGCACTACCGCAATGCCCGCTCGCGGCCTGATAGGCGCCAGAAACGACCGGGAAAGCCCCGCCCCCTGGAGAAACGCCTCCCAGAATCCCATCTACCTCGTTATCATCAACCTCGATCCCGCCTACTGGAAGGCCGCCCGCTTCCCCGCCGCCGACAGAAAAACCGCTGGGGATGCACGCTTCGATCTGAGGCGGCGGTGCCACGGCGCCGGCGCCAGCAGCAACGGTAGAGGCGAACGCCGTTGGCCCTCCCCCCGCCGCCACCGCCGGTGGCACCGCCAGTGAAAACGAAGACATCATCGCGCTCGCCGTCGCCGGTATCCCGCCTCCTCCCCTCGAGCCGCCGCCGCCGCAGCTTTTCAGGACCTCGCTGTCGTCCCAATCGTCGTGCCGCTGCTCGCCACCGTCTCCGCTTGTGCCGGTGCCGACGGCGTCGGCGGCGGCGCTCGGTCGGGGGGTGTTGCAGATCTCGCAGGCGGCGCGAAACGCGGGGTCCTCGTTCAGGTACGTGCACGCCGGGCAGTTCCACGGCTTTTTTTTTTATTTACCACACCACGAGATTTTTTGTTTCGGGAAACACACATTTTGCGATGAGAAAACAGGCACACGAGCACGTGGCATCAAAGGAGGATGGTGTGCGGGGCGTATCCATGTTTTGCATGCCTTAAGCTGTTAGACCGGTGTAGGGGGGAGAGCGCAGTCGGGGCGGCATTGCTTGAGAGCACACGCGAGAACCAACGCGCGACTTACAGGGACAACACAAGCGTTTCCTCAGGCGTGATGCAGCAAGCGAAGGGAAAAGCAACGCCTACGTACATGGAATCACCAGCTTCGTCCAGAACAAATTTCGCCGTAGTACGTCCAAAATGCTCGACGGTGCGGCGCTGTAACTCGAATCATGTACGTCCAGCCTGGAACTACCATTGTCTATTCGTAGATGATCAACAGCAAAGTTCTCCAGGTTTCCCCATCCGGAATTGCCGGGCGAGGACGGCACAAAACATGACGAGAGCACACGAAAAATCCGAAGCCCCTCTTAACCGATCTACCTCGAGATCACCCCGATTAAAATTTTGATTGACTGCGAGCCACCAAGGCCTTCCGACGGTGGGGGGGATAACATCGACCGAACAACTTCATCCCAACACACAAGGTGCAACAGACCTGCTGCGAAAACCCGCTTCCGATCAAACCCAGCTTTGAGGCCGGTCGCGGCGGCGGCGGCGGCGGCGGCGGCGCCGGCCTCGTGGACACAGCGTCGTCGGTTCGGTCCCACTTCGGCAAAGAGCGGCCGCGTGGGCGCTCGTACGTGCGTGCTACGACGCCACGCTGGGCGGCGATGGGAGAATCTCGCTCAATCTGACCAGGGGCAGAGAAAAAACAAAAATAACACATCATTCCATCGGTCACCGAGTTGCTGAACAGCACTCAGCAGCAGTACGTCGAGCGTGTTGGCCGGGTGCGTCCATCTGGTTGGGAAATAAATGGTGGCATGCAAAATGAGTGTACACGACAGAACGTGTGCACATCACACTCGGTGTGGGGTGCGAAAAAAATAGTTCACTGGAATTTCCCTCTAAATTAGAAAGCCAAATAGGGGTGGGGGGGGGGGGGGGGGGGGTACACCGTGGGAACCAAGATTGGGTACCCACCTCTGGAGAAAAGATCTGGTATCCGCCGTCGACCCGGCGCTCGAGCATGCCGACGATCACCCCACCAATCTTATTCTGTGGAAAGTGGAAGAATGGTGAAGGTACATCGCGCACGTGGGGATAAAAGGCGTAAAAGACAAAACGACACGAGACGCCAAACCAGGGCGGCGTGATCTCGCGACGTAAAGACCAAACACGACACGCACTACTTACTGCGTGCTGAAAACGTTTCAACGTGCGTGAGTACTGCTGTAAGGCAAAAGGCACAGCGGGTGCACGCACAGGTGCGTGATCGACTGACTCAATATCGTGTCATTTCATTTCCAATCGTTTTCCGTATTCACATCCCTCGGCAAAAAAAACAAACTTGGACCTGTGCGATCGCTCCGACCCCTGTGCCGAAATCTAAATGAATCACAGCCATTCGGTGTGCCTTTATCCCAACGAACGCCAGTGTGTAGCACGCCTTCGACGTTCGCGATGTTCAACAAACAATAGACAACGACTGCTTTCCCTACTATACTATTAATAGTGTGCTAGGTTTGGGTCACCTTCTCGCCCCAGGAGGGAGGGTTTCCAGTACCGCCAGCGCCGTAGGACTGCTACGACAGCGACAGCGGGGCGGCTGGCTGCCGCCG